GTGGCCGGCTCCCAACAACCCCCCACTTTCCTTCCTAACATCTAGCATGAGATCAACTGCACAACGCATTATTGTTATACATAGGCATTATGTTGTACAGCACATCTCTAGAACTCATTCATCTTGCATAACTGGAATGCTACACTCATTAAGCAACTTTCCATTTCTCCCCCTAGTCCTTGGCAAGCACCATCTTACTCTCTTGTTTCAACAAAATGGGATAATATTAACATTGCACCTTTTTCCCAGTAAATGATTTTTCCAGCATAATTTTAGTTTTCCAAGGCATTTTTTTACTGATTTTTGTTTTTGTCATTGAATATAGTACACCTCATTGGCTTTTCCATGATGGCCATCTTAGTAAATTGATTAACGAAGGTTTGCTTAACATTCAGTAGACTCTCTCTGTTATTATCTAAGGCAAAGTGGAAATAGTTATTCCTTCCAGATTTTCCCAAGGCAAAAGATGGTTATAATTATAGAATCAAAGCAAATCTGTTGTCTGTATGTAAGTCTTTGCTAAGTGCGTGAGCTTAAAATAAACCATGAAGACCAATAATTTCTCTGCAAATAGATTTTAAATAAAGATAAAGATCTTTCACATCTGGGATAAGTTACATAATGTGATATGAACTGGTAAATGTCACCTTTTCAGCTATAAGTCAGAAGTTCTGTATTGATTTCACCCTTTAAGAATTTAGTGCTCGGTTACTTGTAGTCTCTCATTTAACCCAGTATTGCTATATTTTACTTTTAATATTGCTTATGAAGTGTATGTTTTACTGCTTCTTTATATGAAATCCAATTATAACTACCTGGGGTCAACTTTATCATTTAGTTAAACATTAGGACTGTTGGTGAAACAGTTTAAATGCCTCTGTTGTGTCGTCACTGTTTTTACTATTCCAATGTAGAGGCTTCTTCCTGATAAGAGATAGACCTCAAATTTGAACTGTCTCCAAGCCTGATCCTTTAACTTTGATGCTTATGTTTTATGACCCAGAAAAGGGGACATTGTGCTGTTGGTTAGGTGCCTGGGTAGATTCTAGGTCTTACTATTACTGGTTAGCTACGTGACTCAGGAAGCCTTTTAACAACTTAAGTATTTTTCTCATCTATAATCTGAGATCCTAGAATAACATACTGTTAAGATTATTCTCAGTATCAAAGGAGCTAATCTTTTGGTGAAATAGACATTATTTAGTACCTTCAGTGCTCATTAATCAAGAGTAATGGTGGAGTTGGGAAGACTTTGTTTGGGGCAAGGATAACAAGTTCCCACTAGTGGAGAGGGTGGGACTGGATGGGATGGCAATGAGATTTGTGAAAATGGGTTGAGGTAGGGCAGAATTACTTTTAGGTTTGGGGATAAGCTTGTTTCTGTGTAGACTATGTGTTGGAATCAGAGACAGTACAGGTCTTCTCTAGTAATTCTGAGGAACACTCGACAATGTCTGCAAACCCAGGATGAAACAGTGCTATGAAGCATGCCTTTCTGAAGAATAAGTTAATTTTTGAAATGTACTGAGCCTTGATTACAACATTGTGACTGTGACCTAGTAATTTTGATCTGTTACTTGTCCAACCTTGCTCATTATTTCTGATAACAATTGCTCATCAATGTTTCTGCTAAAGGGACAGCAATTTGATAAATTTATATGCTAAAAATCTGTTTTTCTGTTCCTTCTAAAGCAAGTAAAACTGGTGGCTAGATATAAATAAAAAATTAAGTGGGTATTTGCTGTCTAATATTTGCTATTATTGTAAAGGATATAAAGAAAATCTGTCTTTATCTAGTTAATAGACTGAAGAGATATGCTTGTAAAAATGGGAAGAGATTATAAAACTTTAGCACTAACTCTCAGCTTTAAAAGAAAAATTCATTCATTCAGATATCATTTACTAAGTCTCACTCCATGCCAGACTTTGCCCAGGCCCTAAGGGACAGAATTGAATCAGATGTTCTTTCTGGTCTCAGGGACTTTAGAGATGAGACCACGAGACATATGGAAACAGATGCTGTGATAGCAGCAAGCATGTGGTGTGAGCAAAAAGGAAGGTGTAGTCCCTTGTACACAGATGAGGTTGCTCTGGCTGGCAGGAAAGGCTCACAGAGGTTGTGATTCTCACCAGTGCTTCTGAAATTTAATGTGCATTTTCATCACCTGGGGATCTTGTCAAAAATGCAGATGATGATTCAGTAGATCAAGGGTGGAGCTGCAAACAAGTAGCAAAGGTTTAGAAGAGAATCAAGAGCTGACTTTGTGTTTACTAAGCAGAAATAGAAGGTGGGTAGAAAGGAGGCCATTCAGTCACAAGGATGGGAATAGGCAGAAGAATTAAGTGAAATGACTGGAGAGAAACAATTAAGGGTGTGTGTGTGTGTATACAGAGAGAGGGGTGGGAGCATGCCCTAAGGGGAAGAAGTAGGTAGGAGTCAACCCTAGGACTGCCTTTTATGCCTTTAAAAGTAAATTTAGCCTTTGGGAGGCTGAGGTGAGTGGATTGCCTGAGCCCGCGGGTTCGAGACCCGCCTGGGCAAACTGGCGAGACCTCATCTCTACAAAAGATCACAAATCAACCGGCCGTGGTAGCACCGCCTGTCATTCCGGCTACTTGGAAGGCTGAGGCGGAAGGATCGCCAGAGCCCAGAGGATCGAGGCTGCGGTGGCCAGGAGTGGCCACTGCACTCCAGTCTGGGCGACAGAGTAAGACTACAACTCCAAAAAAAAAAAAAAAAGTAAATTTAAAAGTAAATATTAAATAAGAGGATTAAAAATAAGATCACCATCCTGTAGATAATGGAAAATCCCCCATTTTATCTTTTTTTAATTTTAATTTTTTTATTTTAAAGATGTGAGGTACAATTCAGGGTTAGGCATACGAATGTTCATTATGTAGGTCCCCCTGTTGATGAGGTGTGCCCCCTTCCCCGGGCAGTTTCGTGCTACTGCCAATCCCGCCCCCTCCCCCCCAGCAGTTTCCCACTACTGCCAATTCTTTTCTTTTAGTATTACAATTATTGTTCAAGGTCTGCTTATGAGTGAGAACATGTGGTACTCAGTTCTTTGTTTCTGTGATAGATTGCTTAGTATTATAGACTCTAAGTCCATTCAGATTGCTGTGACGTTCACGGAGAGGCCACGTTTTAGATGGGATCACAACCATAATTTTTATGTTTAGGAGATCACCATGATGGAGTTGGAAGGGATAGAAGGACAGGCCATTATGAGCCCAATAGAGTTGTTTAGGCAAGATATAAGGGAGTAAAGAAGAGACTTGTAGGACTCAGATGGAGAGGATGGACTCCTTGAAAGAAATGATGCATCTAGTAAAGTAGAACAGCACATGATATGCCCTGGTGTCAGAGAGAAAATTAGGATGACTGGAGTAGAGTGCACACACAGATGTAGAAGAGCAGTTCAGAAGATGGCTGGAGCCAGAGGGAGAGCTTCGTGTGGTGACTTCAAGTGCCAGGCTTAAGGAGCTTGAGCTGCTTTTTTGCTGGTAAGATGAGAATTTTATAAGTGAAATCTCTGGGACAAAGCAAGCAGCAGGACTTCCCAGGAGCATTATGACTCAGATGTCCTTAGTAATATGGGACAGTGTCATTTTCATCAAAGATCTTTTCCAACCCTTGATATTCTCCAATTACGTGATAGTAGTGGCACTGAGAGATTGGATGCAAGATAGTATGGGCATCTGGAAAAGGAAAGATGATTTCATTGTTTTGAGGCTAGAAAAAAAAGTGGGGGGGAATGGATCTATAATTAACATAAGTAGGTAGGTGAGTGTCCAAGTTGAAATACTCAAAAAGGAATTTAAAATGTGAGTGGCATTGGGATTCAGAAGGAAGACAGGGCGGCAGGTAAGAATTTGAGATTTATTCATATAGGGCAAGGGTTTGAGTAAAATAAAACAGACTCTCTGAGAGAATGAGTATGAGGAGAGTTGTGAGCAAAGGTTTGTTGGGAAAGGTCCATATTTAGGTAGCAGGTGTGAGCGTCAGAATAGTGAGGCTTCAAGGATGTCTGAGGTTAGGAAGCATATATATTTCACTAGTAAGTGGAAGCACTTGCTGCAAGAGTTAGAAATTTGAGTGAAGGCCTTTTAATTATTTGGCAAACTGTGAGGAATAAAAGATAAAAAGATGAGATTTTAAAAAAGAATGTTAATATAGCACCACCTGGTGTTAGGCATTAGGAATTTTTTAAATGAAAATTTTCTTATCAAATTGAGTTTTTCAGCGGGGTACAGTGGCTCACCTGTAATCCCAACACTTTGCGAGGTGGAGGTGAGAGGATTGCCTGAACCCAGGGGTTCGAGACCAGCCTGGGAAATTTGGCGAGACCTCGTCTCTACAGTAGATAAGAATATTAGCCGACTGTGGTGGTGCACACCTATAGTTCCAGCTACTTAGAAGGCTGAGGTGGAGGGATCGCCTGAGCCCAGCGGGTTGAGGCTGTGGTAGCTGTGATTGTGTCACTGCACTGTAGCCTGGGTGACAGAGTGAGACTCCAACTCAAAAAAGAAATTGAGTTTTTCCTCCTGTTTTGGTTGTTTTAAAATCCGCGCCTGCCCCCCCATTTTAAAAATAGATTAACCTAATGTGTGAATGGACTAATTTTTTTTTTAATCAACAGTATGGGGGTCATATCAATTTGTTTATTCTTTTATTTCAACTTTGCTAAAAGCTTCTTTCTCATATGATTCTTTTATGGTCTACTTCAGAGAAGATGTGTGAGTTAATTACTTTAGGATACAGTGTGACAGCCATACTTCTCTATCCTAATTGCCTCTTTGTCTCTGTTCTTTTGCCTCTAAGTGATAAAAAAAAAACAAAAACACGTCTGCATAAAGCTTTCATCAGAAGTTACATGATTCTGAATATTCATTTTGTGTGTTTTGACTTTCATGTTAGTACAGAAGTTTACAAGCTTAAAGTGTCAGCTTTCAAGATAGATTAGCAATAGAAACTTTTTTTTTTTTTTAACTCCAAGGAAAACCTACATTCTTGAAAACTGCACAGCCGTCTTGGGTGAATTTGCCTAGACCACTTCCTAAATCCAAAGCATCTTTGAAAAGCTCTGTGCTGCGGAGGACAGGAAGCAGCCCCTCGATAGCCAGCACCCACAGTGATCGGAGTACTCACAGCAATAATTGTAAGTCAGCCTATGTCACACTTTGGGATTGTCGAGACAGTTGTTGTAAGACAAACTAATGCTCTGCAAATAATTTGTAGAATTTTTGTTTCTGTGATTTCTGGAACAATATATTTACTGCCTCCTTGGAATTGCTCTGAATGTTTGACAGTAAAAAATAATTCTTTGAAAAACATTCTCTTTCAGTGAGTTGTGCTATGAAACACTACAATAATCATGTGCATATTTTTGCATGAAGTATTCTAAAGTGCGTCATTTGAAGTGATGGTGTTTTAGGGGTTTAAGAATAGCAACCTAGGGGATTTGTAACCAAACTGGAATTAAGAAGATTACTTCTGTTTCATTTAGTTTGTAAAAGACTATCCCTTGTAGATATATGTTTTGTAATCTTTTATTTTGGTTGCTAGGTTCAAATGTAATGTGACTATATATTATATATATTTGTTATATGCATTTATAATATATAAGCTGTATATTATAACCTCAAGCCTAAATCTAAATTTTAAACCCAGGAGAATATTTTTTTAAAGTTTTTGGTTAATGCGATTCCTGTTTTCTGTATATATGGGGGGGGTTACAAGAAAAACTGGAATTATTATTTGGAGGGCTGGCCCCTTGTAGTACAGGCTTCCCCAACTAGGTGAGTGTTCTAGGAACCCATCGATATCAGTGTACCGGCTAGCATTGTTGTAAGAGGCTGTGTTTGGCTTCAGTGATTTTTTTTTTTTTTTTTTGGAGAGTCTTTCAACACGTTTTTCCAATTCATGATGGGTGATTTAGAAGTGTACCTGACCACACTGCGCTGAGTGTTCAGCAGTTTTTGACCAAAAGCAGCATGACCCCCATGCTCCACCCTCCTTATTCACTTGATCTCACCCCAAGCAACTTCTTTTTTGTTACTCTGGATGAAAAAAGTTCTCAAAGGGAAACATTTTGCTGATGTGGAAGAGGTGAAACAAAAAATGACAGAAGCACTAAAAGGCATCAACATTGACGAGTTCAAAAACTGTTTTGAGCAGTTTAAGAAGTATCTCCATTGATGTATTGAATCAAACAGAGAGTACTTTGAAGGACACTGAAGTTTAAACATGTAAGAATAAATACACAATTTTTTATACATCAATTTTGGGGGTTTTTGGATCCCCCCTCGTAATATAGGTGAATTGAGCTTTTCTTTTTTTTTTTTGAGTTGGAGTCTTACTCTATCACCCAGACTGGAGTGCGTGGCCGCTCCCGGCCACCACAGCCTCGACCTGCTGGGCTCCGGCGATCCTTCTGCCTCAGCCTTCCAAGTAGCCGGAATTGCAGGCATGCGCTACCACGCCTGGCTGATTTTTTGATTTATTGTAGAGATGAGGTCTTGCTGCCTAGGCGGGTCTCGAACCCTGCGAGATCAGGCAATCCACTCACCTCAGCCTCCCAAAAGCTCGGGATTACAGGCTGAGCCACCGAGCCCAGCGAATTGAGCTTTTCATTCAAAAGATGTATTTAGACTTAACTTCCTATTTTTTATTTCCATTTTTATATTTCCCCACAAATAATTCATGAATTGATAAAGTCAAACAATTTTGGAGTGTCTCCTGTGCACAGACACTGTGATGGATGCAGTGAGGGACGTGGGAATATATATTTTTAAATGATCCTCTAAAAAGAAGTGAAGGGGCCAGGCGTGGTGGCTCAAGCCTGTAATCCTGCACTTTGGGAGGCTGAGGCGAGAGAATTGCTGTGCCTGCAGGTTCGAGACCAGCCTGGGCAACATGGTGAGACCTCGTCTCTACAATAAATAAAAAAATTAGCCACACATGGTAATGCACACCTGTAGTTCCAGCTACTTGGAAGTCTGAGACAGAAGGATTGCCAGAGCCCAACGGGTCGACGCTGGGGTGGCTGTGAGTGTGTCACTGCACTCCAGCCTGGGCGATAGAGTGAGACTCCAACTCAAAAAAATAAAAATAATAATAAAAAGAAGTAAAGGAGAAGGAAGGAAAGAAAAAACAAAGGGTTGGTCTCTCTACTGTAAAGACAAATCAGTTTCTTCTTTTTGCTGAGAGAATAGGGACAAAATGGAATAATAGTCACTAAACTGTTCTTCGTGTTCAGCAATATCGTAAGGTCACCATATTATTATTTTTTCCTCGAATGGCTTCTATTTTAACCCTTATTTTTACATACGAGGTGATTGAGGCTCAGAGATGTTGTCCTGGTCTAAAGTCACACAGCAGGTATGTGATGAAATTGAGAATGTGTTTGTGGAAGCTAAGGCATTGAATTAATGACTGAATTAATGAGCGCATTTCCAACGGGTCACTTAGCAGCAGGAGCCAGTTGCTGGTCTCCTATGATAGTAAGTAGCTGCGTCCTGGCACTTTAGGAATACTGGGCTGTGTTACTTAAAATTAGACAGGATCTTTATCTGCTTATTGTTTGAATTTTGAAGTCGTGGCACAAAATCAGAAGTGTCTGCATACAACAGATCACGCTGTGTGAATTTGAAAAGGTACTTCACATGTATATTATTTTACGGTCACTTTACTCTAGCTCTCTCTGTCTTGCATTGCAATTTTAAAAACAAACTGCCAAAACAGAACCTCCAGCATGTCTGGAAAAGCTGTTGCAGCAATGGAATTTTTGACACTTGAAGCAGACACATTCTGTAGTGCATTTGCCATCGACAGCCATGTTGACTTCACCACCGTTTCAGTACCGTGTCTGATACTCCTAAGGAGATTGTAAAATGCTTTTGTCTATTCCTTTTTGTCTTTTAACAAAGGGGCTTACCATACACCCACAGAGCCTGTCTAGTGGCGATGTGTCCTTGTTGCAGATTAAGTATTCCAATCAATGAGTCTTTTTCTTAGTTTGATTTGCTAGCTGGTTTAATCTGTTTTGTGTAGTGCCTTGGAGCTTACAGATTTTTTTTTTTTCCCTCCCATTCTAATTCACTAAGAGCAAGCATGAGGGATATGAGAGTGAACATGGCTGCAGTTTTTCCTGCTTAAGCTTGCTTTGATCCTTTTAAATGACTGTACCAGGAGGATTTCGCAGTTGTACAGAAACTGATATTTCTTCAAAAATCTTTATCAATTCTACACTCACCCCACCGGCTGGTTCAGAGAGGCAGTATGATGCTACCTTATTGACATTGCTGGTCGTGGGATCCTACAGCCTTTGTATAATTCCTTTGTTAGCCACGTTTACTGGGAAAAAAAGTAGGTCAACGATTTCTGGTTTGATTCTTTTCTTTGTAAGCATGCTTAAATTTTTGTTCAATAAATTGACTTAGGATCTCTTTATTGCTATTTTTGTAACTTGTAGTGTGTTCATTGTAGTGTTGGGGGGCATTTTTATATGTATTTAAGATGTGAATGCTTCTGTGTAGAACCAATTTTATTGTATGTTTTATGTGTTTTGGCATTCTTACTAAATATAATTCAGCAGCATTGTCAATATTCTTGGCACATGAAATTATTCTGCTATCAAAGACTGTTTGATGGTTAAATTTCTGATTAAATGACTAGTAGTTTTTTTTAGTATGTAGCTTATAGTTGTGCAAGTGAAGGAAAATATTTTCCTAGAATAAAAATGAAAATATCACATCTTTGATTTTTTCCCCCCTCAATTTTAATCAAAGTATTAAACGTGCACTTAAAAAAAAAAAAAAAAACTACCCCAAACATGAAAAAAATCATTTTGGGCTGAAATTTTTATGCTTCTGATAATGAAGGATCATGTTAAGAAATAACTTATTCTTTTGATCAGTGTTTTGGTTCATATTGGCTTAAGCATTTGCGCACTTTTAAAGAATGTTGTTTTTTTGCTTTGTCTGCTTGTTTCTTTGTGATGTGATGTTGCTAGCAGCATCATTTAAGAACTTCTGATATAGCATAGTGCTTTTGTAAAATTAGCGTCTGGTTCTCTGTACTTTGGCATCCTATAGAAATAGCATTACTGAGCTTAAAATGACCAAATCAAGATATGGAAAGGAATAAAGTTTTCTTATTCAGGGGCTTTAGCCAGTTCTTTGTATGTGCTCTTTTGAGCGTAGAAAATTTCAAAGTTATGGTATTATTTTGGATATTAGCATAACATTGCGCACTCGTTTCTATGCCATATGTGCCCATTTATAGAGGTGTTAAGCATTGTAGGCTCTTTCAGACTCATAAACCTGACATCTAATTTTTAAGATCATTAAAGGAATTAAATAAAAATAATTGATATGTTTTGGGTCCTGAATACAGTTGGAGGTTTGAGAATCATTGTGCAATTTAGAAGGAGATCTTAGGAGAGTGTGTAATTTTGCCACATAAGCAGGAAAATGAAGTCCGAAACTTCACTTCCCCTTCCTTTTTGGCCACAAAAACATGTTTATTTTTGACAGACAGATGGTGAGGGGAAATGTAAGAGATGCACACCAAAGTGATTTGTACTCTCTTAGAAATAGGAGAACAGAAGGAAACTAAATAAAGAAATGGAACGTTCTTTTCCCTGCACCTTTGTGGCCAGTCCTGTCTGGGGTGGTGTAAAATGTAGAAAAGGGCATGCAACTCAGACTCATCCTAGTTTTCCTACTAACTTATGTGAAGTTAGACAGTCTTTCTCTTCTCTTAGTCTCAGTTTTCTTATCCGATCAAATGACAAGGGGAGAACTAGATAATCTTCTAAATTCTTGAAGCAACAAATGTCACTAACCCCTTTCTTTTCTTCACTGCAATAAGATGGTGCCTAATTGTCTGGAAGGAGAGTGTTTTGAGTTCAAGTGATTAAGTTGATAGGGAGAAGGATGAGTCTTATTTTCTCTCTCTCTCTCTCTCTCTCTCTCTCTCTCTCTCTCTCTGTGTGTGTGTATATGTGTATGTGTCTTTCACTCATGTCAGGAGTGGTAAGTATTGTCTCGCCTAACAACACAGGTTGCTTGTAGTACAGTGTTAAAGGTTTCTCAGGCTGCTTCCAAGTTCAGAGGGCAAGTTTCATGTTTGACTAGTGATGTCTGCCATGAGTGAGAAATAGATGAGGGACAGGCAGTATATACTGCTGGCTCTGCATTACAAAACATGCTAATACTTACACACTACTGAATGGACTATTTAATTAGGAATATTATTATCCAGACCACTATTAGTTTTATTTTCTTCCTTTATCTTTTGATGCTTTTCTAGGTTGTATGCGAGCTGTTCTTGTTATTACACATTCGAGTGATTTTGCTTTTGAAATTTGAAAGCTTAGATTTCAGTAGTAGATTTGATTCTAAGCCAGGTGGGCAGATGATCTGGCACAGTGAGGAGTGTTAAATGGATTCACAAAAAAATTCAAGAAATGAACAGAATGTTGGCTCTGTGTGTATATACATAATGTGATAAAAACTAATTTCCACTAGGTGCTAGAATGTAGTATGAAATATTCGTTTGCGAATAAAAGTCTGGAACAACGAGAAGCTCTTTTCTAGTAGGAAAACTATTTCTTCTGCATAGTCTTTTCTGAGAACAATCCTTCATTTTCTATTTAGATTCAATCAATCAGCTCTCTCTCTCTCTCTCTCATTTCATTTTAACTACACTTCGGCCATGGGGAAATGAAGGTAAGGATTCCAGAGATTCTATTTTTCTGGCGTAATTGGGACAGCTAGGACCAAAGATGACAACAGGGCAGTTTTAAACTACATATTATATCTGGCTGAGAACTAGGTGAACACATGTGGAATTTTACATATTGACTCTAAAAACCAACTGTCATTAGTGGCTGTGACCCTCTGGAGCACTGTGTTTAATAGGGTTCTAGGGAAGCTTCTGGCCTCAGTGAGACTCAGTACCAGAATCAGTTAGTGGAGCCCCTGTGACACCATATGTACTGCTCTGTTTCCATACCTGATGTTCAGACCCATTCATGATACGTAGAGAGGTGATTAAGCAAAGATGGGTAGCAGCCAAATCAGGACCAGAACTAGGATATTGTAGATAACCATTCCATTGCTGGAAACTATTATGCTTTTATTATTATATTGGAATTGTTGCCACAGAATAGTTTATTATTTGGATATAATAACTCTGGGCAAGGGAAATCTTAGATTTCATTAGGATAACCAGTCAGTTGCCATGTTAGGAACTGAAATAGAGGGCAGGAGAAATACTTGAAGAGCATCATGCCTCAATAGTGACATACAACCTTCAAGTTGGGGTTCGCTAGAGAGCACTGGGCCAGCCTAGAAGAGAGTTTAAGAGAAAGCGTTAGTCATGAAAATATGTTCAGCTTAGCACAATTTGTGCCTACCACTAGTAAAGTGGGAAGTATATGTCATAGGTGATCATAGAGTGTTTGAATATATACCTTGTATATTTATCATATAAATATGCATAAAATATAAATATGTGTGTGTTTGTATCTGAGCCCAATGCAGACATTTTATCCTTCAAATAATGGATTTTGACTCCATATTGTGTGTTCCAAAGTTGATGATGGGTCTGGTCTGGTGCTGGATTGATCTAGTGTTGTATTGAGCCTGAAAAGTGGCAATGAGGTAGTTTGTTTCCTGCACAACTCCTCCTGTTCCATGTGTGACAGAGCCACAGGACAGGGATATTGTGCCTCATGAGACATGTGTCCTTTGCTTTAGTGAGAAATCTTTTTAATACTGAGTTCTTTGTAAACTGGAGGTTTTTGTGTCTAAAGCCTAGGGGAAAATAAGCATGAATTTAGAACCATATGTTTTCATATTAGGTTTATAAATCTAACTCAATTTAATTTTTAAAAATATGAATAAGTAATTCGACTTGTTTGCTGATGAATATAATTTTTAAAAGTGCTTCGAGAAAAGAAATCCAGATTGTCATGATACATGGCTAAGATTCTATAATAACATCATTTACTTCCTTTATTGGATTTGATTTAGTAAAAAGCTGAAATCTAATTGAAACCCAATATTCATTTATATGAAAAGCTTTAAAAAATGCTCTATGGAATTTTGGTTCTGTCATTTTAAGACTATGAAGTTATTTCTCATCATCCTTTTAAAAGTTATGTTGAATTTTTTAGTAGTAGCATCATGATTATTGTCATCCCCACTAGCTTCCTGTCACCTTTGGAAAAACCAAGTCTCCAGGTTCTGGAGAAGGTAAGAATTGGAGATAAGAATGGGAAATTGACAGAAGCTTCTCACTGGGAGGGAAAGCTCTATGTTGATTTAACCTAATATTAGGAATGCTATCTGGGCACAAGAACAATTAACAGATGGCTCATTGTACAGACACTGGATGTAGATGGGGAGAATAATAGCATGCTTTTGCAAAGTTTGGATGTGACATATATAAGCATTACTGTAGGAGTTGGGATAGCTTAGCCCAGTGAAAGATTTCTAGCTGTATTCACATTTGTAAGGTGTTAGTAAATAAGGTAGGCATCCTTACCCTTTTCTAGAAGTGTGAAGAGAGAAAAGGGATCAAAGTTGGCAATAAATAAATTTACGACTGTAAGTGTTGAATAGTAGAATAGAATTGGATGCTTAGAATTGTATATTAAAGATTATTTAGAAACTAAGAACTCCAGTCTGTGTTGATGGAGGGGACATTTTTATACGTAATAGAAAAGGTGATTTTCATCATTTAGGTAAGATTCCCTGTTATGTTTTCACTCTAAGGTTAGGCACTTTTGTTCCAGGGCAGATATTGGCGTTCCAACTCCTTGCTGCTGCAGCAGGGGATTCAACCCAGATCTTATCCTTGTAGCTACCAAGGAGTGTATACGTTACTGTTCTTACATCATTAACTAGCGGGCTGCCTGTATTCTGCCTTGTTCTCATGGAGATGGATGCTCTTCCTAGCTGCACCTTGGACATATTTGTTGCATAGCATGAATGGCCATATAATATATTTCCTAACTTTTATCTGGGATAAGGGCTAAACTGGACAAGATGCATAAAGTTGGACTATGCCAGCCATCTAGGAAGTATAGTCATTCAGATGATAGCCTATGCTTTCCAACCCTGAGGACACAGACCACCTATTATCTTTGTATTCTCTGAGGTCGGTAATGACTGGCATGGTACAGGTGTGCAGTGAAAATTTGTTGATTCAATGAGGAAGGATTAAATGTGGAAGACTGATGCTGTAGTTATCAATAAAATTAAATGTACTTTTCTGTTTTATTGCAGCTGGTAATGCTGCTGTCATCAAGTATGAGGAGAAACCTTCAAAACCAGCATTTCAAAATGGTTCCTCGGGATCTTTTTATTTGAAGCCTTTGGGACCCAAAGCTCATGTTCACTTGCTAAAAACTCCTCAAAAAGGTATGATCCTCATTGTGGATGAAAGAGAGAGGGCAAGACTTTCAATGTCCTTGACTTGCAGGAAGTTAAATTTTGACAGTTATGTTTATGGCGTATTTAACAATTATTTATAAAAAGTGTGTTGAGTAAGGAGATATGATTCATTTTTACACCAAGGGGGTGGTTCTTGTTCCCAGAGTTGGTAGTTTCTGTAGTTGGAACCTGTTACATATAAACCAGCAGGCAGAGCAAAGGCATAAAGTGAAAATAACAAAACTTCTAGAGCTAAATATTCCAAGATGGTGCTCTGGAGTAATTAGATATAAAGGAGTTGGCCGGTCTTGGTGGCTCAGGCTGTATCCCAGCACTTTGGGAGGCCAAGGCGAGTAGATTGCCTGAGCCCATGAATCCGAGACTAGCCTGGGCAACTTGGCGAGACCTCGTCTCTACAATAAATAAAAAATTAGCTGGGTGTGGTAGCATGCACCTGTAATTCTGGCTACTTGGAAGGCTGAGGTGGAAGGATCGCCAGAGCCCAGCAGGTCAATGCTGGGGTGGCCGTGAGCGTGCCACTGCACTACAGCCTAGGTGGTGGAGTGAGATTCCTATTCAAGATATAGAGGAGTAGGTGAGCATGAGTTACTTCCCATCAGAGTAGACATCTTATGTTTATTACTGTACATTTTCTTCATGTCTTTGGTCCAAGACTATGTTCTTTTTTCTCTTTTTTATGTTCTTTATATCTATTCCTTCTTTGTATCCCTCACTCTGTAATTTCAGTGGCTATTACGAATAACTTTTAGGTTTACAAAATATGTGGTGTACACTTACTATGCAGTGTTTTCATACAACTTTAACATAGTGGCCCTGGAGCACATCTGAAGTCTTCTTTGTGCTTGGTGAACTGAAAGATTGCTTAAGCAAAAGGATAATTGTGTATGAGAAACTTGACCTATAAAATGAGACCCATAGTTAAATTAGAGAACTTGGAAAACACAGAAACATTCAAAGTCTTCCTTAATTCTATCAACCACCAGATGCTGTCTCATTTCCTTCCAGTTTTCTTCCTGAGTATATACGTGATTTTGTTTTAACAAAACTAGGGTCATAGTATATATACTCTTCTGTATCTTGCATTTTATTAATTTAATAGTGTGTCATGAGAACTACTTCACATTAAAGTATATGTAACAAGCTATTGTTTCCCCATTCTTAGGCTGTACCTTTTGTTTTACATTGGACAAGTTCTGACTTTTATTGTGGTGCATTATACAGAGATGAACATCCTTGAATGTGAATCATTGTTCATTGTTTTAGATTTTAATTACTTCCATGGAATATTCCTGAAAGGGGAATTACTAGGTTAAACTATATAAGCCTCTTTGGATTGCTAGTATATATTACAATGTAACTCTTGAAAAAGGTATTGTTCTCTTACAGCAATATGCGTATCTGTTGCTCTGCATCCTCCCCTGTGTGTGTGTGTGTGTGTGTGTGTGTGTGTGTGTGTGTGTGTGTGAAGGATCACCTCGTAACTTGAGGTTAGTTATCTAGCCGGGCTTAGTGGCTCAGCCTGTAATCCCAGCACTTTGGGAGGCGGAGGTGAGTGGATTTTCTGAGCCCGTGGGTTCGAGACCAGCCCAGGCAACTTGGTGAGACCTCATCTCTACAAGAAATCAAAAAAATTAACTGGGCGTGCTAGCACATGTCTGTAGTTCGGGCTACTTGGAAGGCTGAGGCAGAAGGATCACCTAGCAGGGCGATGCTGGGGTGACTGTGAGTGTGCCATGGCACTCTAGCCTGGGCGACAGAGTGAGACTCCAACTCAAAAAAAAAAAATCTAGTACAAGTTTTTCTTTCTGCTAGAGAAAAAATAGGCTTGAATGTTGGGCATTAATTTCTTCAGTGTGTCAGCAGGCTCTTACTTGTCCAGGATCTTAAATAAATTTGAGTCATCAAATGACTTGGTGACATCTGGATGTGAAACTGCAGTTTTTACTGATGATGATAAAACCCCATAATCCACACAACAATGACTGAAAATTAACATGGTTGAACTTTTATACTTAGGCAGCCTTCAGAGAATGAGAATTTAGAGATTGCAGTAACTTTGCAAAACAGAAAACTCCAGTATCCTAAATGCCTCTCTATTGAATGTCAAAGTTTTGTGTCACAAAGGTTTTACTTGACCGGGAATCAATGCTTTCCATTTGTAATAACCACATGTTTTAAGAGAGAATCATCTCTATAAAATTTTCCAGATTGAATATGATAGCTGTTCTAACTAGTAACCTCCAGGTGATTATGTGCCTAGAAATAACTATTTCATATCAAGTGTAGAGGCATTCGTTGTTTTCTTCTAGTGGCTTATGGCTCTGTACAGTTATCACTCCTACTTATATTTTATATTGAGTTGGTTTGGAAAAAAAGCTTATAGTTCTATTCATAGCTGAATAGAAATTGGCAGTTTCAGAAAGCACGCACTAGTGGCTGTCTTTCTTGAAATCTAGCCTCTTGTTCTGTCTGTAGTGGAATAGCATTGTGTGCTTAGTAAACGTGTGGATTCAAAACTGTCAAAACTTGAACTTAAGCTGTTCTTCACTGATAAAATACCGTGGATTGTCCTGTTAAAACTGATCATATTTAAGTTGTGATGACTAATTCGTATCATTCTTAAACTGTCATTATGATATTATTTGGAATATCATCTTGTATTTAAAATATACTTGATAAAGAGTTGATTGCAGCTGGACTCGGTGGCTCAGCCTGTAATCCCGCGCCTTTGGGAGGCTGAGGTGAGTGGATTGCCTGAGCCTGCGGGTTCGAGACCCGCCTGGGCAGCGAGACCTCATCTCTACAATAAAAAAAAATAAAAAATAAAAAAATCAGCCTGGCATGGTAGCATATGCCTGTAGTTCCAGCTACTCGGAAAGCTGAGGCGGAAGGATCGCCGGAACCCAGCAGGCAAGGCTGCGGTGGCCGGGAGCGGCCACTGCACTCCGGTCTGGGTGACCGAGTGAGACTCCAACTCAGAAACAAAAAACAAAACAAAACAAAACAAAAAAAGAGTTGATTGCATCTTCATGGTATTTCCTATCTGGAACCTAAAATTTAGATATCAGTTGCTTGTTTTTGAAAATAAAACAACTCATGTACAAAATGGTTTGTTTTTGTGTGAAATTTTAAGTAAAATGTGTATGTTTTACATATTTCTTCTGTATCTTAGGTCCTTTGAGAAAAACTCTATTAACAGCTTTTAATGCAGGTGAGTGATCACTTTGAATATAAACGGGGGAAAAGTCTTTTTGTAAAGTAATGTTATCATTAAAAGTATTTATGTACAGTGATTTTTTTTTCCACTGGCAGGCTTGTTAATAGACTTTCCAGTTTGAGGTGTAAACATTACCACTTATGACAGGGATAACATAGCATTAAAATATGGCAAGCAAGATTGGCCATCTGGTGCAAGAAAGGCCATTTTATTAACACTAGATAATTTTAGTTTTTAAAAAATGATTTTGTTAATGTGGTCTAAATGAAATGGAAAATATACATTTTCTAGGCTAAATCTATTTTAAATTGGATAGTCTTTAATTGCTAAATAGTCTCAAGATCTAGTTTTAGTGCTTTTTAGTGGTTTAACAGCCTACTTTGTTTTGTTTTATTTACACTCTTATTGTACATGCTCACATCTCTCTCTAAGATAGCCTGCAGCCTTCACTGTTTGAACCACAACTGAGAATCAAAAACTTTGTCTCTCGAGAAGCCATGAAATTTTACAAAATATGTTTACTACAATTCCTAATGTCATATATAACTGATCAGGTCCCCCATACATTGCCTACATTATCCTATTTTTTTGTACAGTGATAAGACAGTTAAGTGACTTCTAAATTCTTTATAGAGTATTATGTTTATTATTATTATCTGTTATGGTGATTATTGTTATTATCTGTGATCAGTGATCTTTGATGTTACTATTGTAATGGTTTTTGAGTGCCACAAAGCTTGCCCATATAAGGTAATGAACCTAATTGATAAAAGTGTGTGTCCTGTCCGCTCCACTGACCATACATGCTCCATCGGTTTCTTTATCCTTGGGCCTCCCCATTTCCTGAGACACAATTATATTGAAATTAGGTCAATTAATAACCCTACCATGGCCTCTAAATGTTCAAGTGAAAGAAAAGTCACGTTTCTCACTTTAATCAAAAGCTAGAAATGATTTAGTTTAGTGAGGAAGGCATGTTGAAAGCCAAGATAGGATGAAAACTGGGCCTCTTGTACCAGCCAGTTAGCCAAATTGTAAATGCAGAGATAAGTTATTGAGTTTTCTTTCAATATATCACTCCTCATTACCAGTATACTTGGTCACGCAAGAGTTCTGATGGAGTTGTATGAGATTAATGTTTTCATGCCTGCTAACACAGCATCCATTCTGCAGCCCATGGATCAAGGAGTAATTCTGATTTTTAAGCCTTATTATTTAATAGTTATATTTTGTAAGACTATAGCTGCCATAGATAGTGATTTTTCTTATGGATCCAGGCAAAGCAAATTGTAAACCTTCTGGAAAGGACTCACCTTTCTAGATCCATTAAGAGCACTTGTGATTCGTGGAAGGAGGTCAAAATATTAGCATTAACAGGAGTTTGGAAGAAGTTGATTCCAACCTTCATAGATGACTTTGAGGAATTCAAGACTTCAGTGGAGGAAGGCACTGTAGATGTAGTGGAAATAGTCAAAGAACTAGAATTCAAAGTGGCACCTGAAGATGTGATTAACTTGCTAGGATCTCATGGTAACATTTGAATGGATAAGGAGGTGATTTTTATGAATGAGCACAAGAAATGTTTTCTTGAGATAGAATCTCCTCCTGGTAAAGATGCTGTAATCATTGTTGAAACAACAACAAAAGATTTAGAATATTCCATAGACTCATTTGATAAAGCAGTGGCAAGGTTTGAGAAGACTGCCTTCAATTTGGAATGAAATTCTGCTTTGGGCAAAATGCTGTCACACAGCATCACATGTTACAGAGAAATCTTTCATGAAAGAGTCAATCGATGTGGCAGATTTCCTGTTTGTCTTATTTTAAGACATTACTACAGCCATGCCAATATTCAGCAACCCCCACCCTGATCAGTCAGCAACCATCAACATTGAGGCAAGGACCCCCACCAGCAAAGACTATGACTTACTGAAGGTGCAGGTGATCATTAGTATTTTTTAGCAAGGAAGTTTTTTGTTTGTTTTTGGTGGGAAAGTAGGATTTATTGAGAGGACAAAAAAGCTCCCACGGTGGGAGGGGACACAAGGGGGCTGCCCAGCAATGAGGTATTTTTTAATTAAGGCATGCACATTGTTTTTTAGACATAATGCTATCGCACACGTAATAGACTATAGTGGAAGCATAAGTTTTAAATGCACTGGGAAACCAGAAATACGTGTAATTCACTTCATTGTGGTATTTGCTTCATTGTAGTGATCTGGGACTGAACCTGCAATGTCTCCAAGGTGTGTCTTTACTGTCATAGCACATTACCTACAGTTTATTCACGCATTATGACAGTGTCAGGTGTTAAGGATGCAGTCATGAGCCCAAAATGAGCAAGGCATTGTCCTCAAGGAGTTTACTGAATAGTCAGAAAATTTGCATAAATAAGCATGAATCATAAATGCGGCAAGTTCTAGGGAGAAAAGCTATGTGGTCCAAGGAGAGGATCGAAGAGTGTGATCTAGTAAGTGAAACCTGGGCAGGAGGTATATATTCATGAGCCTCCTAAAGGAAATAGAGTAGATAACATTACATAGTGAATAGCTAATACTCTTCTTGCCCCACCACATGTATTCAGTTTCCTCGTTATAATAAGGCAGAGAAGTGTGAGGGGAAATTGTTAACCTTTTGTAGGTTCTTAAAGCTAGAGATTAACCTGAATTTGAATTTTTTTTTTATATATATAGGTATGTTATTAAGGCTTTTATAACTTAAAAAAGCAAAAGAAACCGTACTGTGCACATTTAGGTTTTTATTTTCTTTTGTTTTAAATTTCTTATACATTTTAATATTTGGGAAAAAATGGTAGCTAATATTCTGTAAAATGACTTTATGTTAAAAAATTAGTTAACCATTACCAGAAAGCTGGATCATATGGTAACTCCATTTTTAAACATGTGAGAAATTTCCAGGCTTTTTTCCCAAGTGCCTGTACCATTTTACATCCTCACTGGCAGTACATAAGAATCCAATTTCTCCAGCTCCTTGCGAGCACTTGATTTTGTTTGATTGTAGCTGTCCGACTGGTATGAAGTGGTATCTCATTGTTTCAATTTGTATTTCTCCAATGGCTAATGATGCCGTCAGGTATCTTTTCATATGCTTTTTTCATATTCTTATTGGCCATTTGTGTATCTTTTTCGGATGGGGTTATTTATCTTATTGCTGAATTGTAGTTCTTTATATATTCTGGATATTAGACCCTTATCAGATATACGATTTACAAATATTTTCTCTCATTTTGTGGGCTGTCTTTTCACTTTCTTGAAATGAAAAATTTCTTCAAAATTCCTTTGAAGCGTAAATACTAATCTTGAAGAGGTTCAGCTTTTTTTTTTTTTGAGTTGGAGTTTCACTGGGTCGCCCAGACTGGAGTGCAGTGGCCGCTCCCGGCAACCGCAGCCTCACCTGCTGGGCTCCGGCGATCCTTCCGCCTCAGCCTTCCAAGTAGCTGGAGTTACAGGCATGTGCTACCACACCTGGCTGATTTTTTAATTTATTGTAGAGATGAGGTCTCGCTGCCCAGGCGGGTCTCGAACCCGCGGACTCAGGCAATCCACTCACTTCAGCCTCCCAAAGGCGCGGGATTACAGGCTGAGCCACCAAGCCCGGCTTTTTTTTTTTTTTAATATGTATGGTATAGGGTGTGGGGTCCAACTTCAGTGTTTGCATGTGGGCATCTAGATGTTGAAAACACTGGTTTTTTTCCCATTTAAATGTCTTGGTATCTTTGCTAAAAATAATTGACTATGAATGTGAGCCAATTTCTGGTCTTATTTCTGGACTCTAAATTATATTCCTGGGATCTATGTGTCTATCTTTGCCTATACTATACTGTCTTGATTACTGTGATATAGCAAGTTTTGAAATCAAGACATGTGAGTCATTCAACCTTGTTCTTTTCCAAGATTGTTATAGTTCTTCTGGGTTCCTTGACTTCTTATAAATTTTAAAATAAGCTTGTCAGTTTCAGCAAAGATGTCAGCTGAGATTTTGATCAGCATTTAATTGAATCTGTAGATGAGTTTGTGGCATATACCTATCTTAACAATGTTAACTATTCTAATCCATGAATATGAGATACCCTCTACAAGAATATGGTTAGGTCTTCTTTAATTTTTTTTCAGGAATGTTTTGTTGTTTTCAAAACATAAGTTTTGAATACTTCTTTAGTACTATTTCTTGTGTTTGACTTTTCTATGCTTTGGAACTGTCATTGATAACTGGTCACAGTAAAGTGGCTGGTTAAGTAATTCTACTAACATGACTATTTTAATCTAAATTAAATATGAAACTTGGAAAGGCAGTCTTAAATAATATCTCAAGTTTATGATCATCTGAAGTATGATAAAGTATATTTATCTTGTAGGTTTTAGTAAATAGCCCTCAACATATATCTTTTTTTCCCTACTATGGAGAAAAGTTGTAGATTGAACATTTTCCCTTGTTAGGTTGTTAGAATGACATCATGCCTTATTTTCAAAGCATATCATTGACCCTTGACATATCAGTGCCCCTTTGCAGATAAGGTTCTCAGAATGGCAAATTAACTTCTGATTAAGTGAGAAAATAAATGTAAAATACAAATCGTGGGTTTGTTTGACAAAGCCTTTAACCATGGAGTAGAAATGGGGTTTGTGGCAGAGTTCAGAAATGCCTGTTTCCAATTAACCATTGACAGTTTTAACATAACATTAGTCAATACTCTGAAATCTTCAGTAGAAAAATATATTTTAAGGAGTCAACACTGCAATTTTGTGTAGCATGTCCGTGTATTTCCCCAAAACCATAAGCATGATTTTTTCAGGTTCTTCTACTTCATGGTTAGTTATTATCACAACTTAAGACTAACCCAGTATTATGAGCCTAAATATTGCTGTGTGTTGGCTTTTGGAGGAATAACTTTGATGCTAAGAAATGTTGTCCAAATAACCAGTGACTTTGGGGGATGTTAGTTTTGTTTTCTGTGTAATTGAAAGGGTTGATCT